GAGTAAAGAAAAGCAGACAAAAAAAGAGGCAAAAATGAGATGTCATTACATTTACAAATCCTTCATGTCCTGTAGGAGGCTTTTGTATTAGGCACCAAACATGATTTCATTTGTTCTGCCTTGCATTTAAAATTTTCCTCTTATACAGATGATCCAAAATCCAAAAGGGATTTTTTTTTTTATGACAGGTAACTTCTGTTCACGTCATTAGTGGGTATTTATCAGTATCTGAGAGCTCCTTAACCTGCCAGCTGGATTTTTCTTAGATTTTTTAATTTTATGATTCCTACAGCAGCACATCACTTCTGGATTCACTTCACTAGGAAGACTCTCAACACTCAGCATTTCACTGCATGAACATGCAGTAAAAGACAATGAAGGATGACGCTATAAACACACACACACACACACACACACACACACACACACTTTCATCATACAACAGTAACCCAACAGTTTTCAAAAGCTTGATAAGACTTGTGATGTATGGCTAGTATTAGAGTCCGTGCATTGAAAACACTCTTCAGCATCCACACAGATGATAGCAGAGGTTCCCAAACATCTTTGGCTCACTATAGATTTTTTATGAAAAAACTACTCAGCACCCCCTCAAAAATCTACTTAAATTGATCTCTCCACCCCTCCCACACCACACACACACACACACACACACACACACACACACACACACACACACAAAACCAGCCACCAATGGCTGACACTCAATGTTGCTTAATATAAATTTCAGGGCAGGTATCGATAGTATCAGTAGGTTAAGTTGAGGAAACAGAAAGCCCTCCCACCTAAAGGGCACCTGAGACTAACACTCCCTCCACCCTCACCCCACCACCTTGGATGGCTGGGGTGGTACCAGTCAGCACTATTGCTAATTTTGGAAAATACGGATAGAGGGGGTGAAAAACAAACCTATCTCCTTCCCATACTGTATCTGATATTTTACAACTAAACAGTATATGATATTCATTAGATTTCAGGACTGCAAAGACTAAAAACAAATTTCCCCTTTTAATTTGTCAGTGGAAATTTTATTTTACATATAATAAGTTGGGAGAACTTTAGAGTCAGATCTGTTTAAAGCAAGTAAACGAAGACCATGGATATGGTTCAGAGGTAAAGCATTTTCTTTTCATGTGGGAGCCTTTAGTTCAATTTATATAAGGAGAAGGAAGAGGGGGAGGAGGAGGATGAGAAGGAAGAGGAAGAGGATGAGAGGAGGAGGAGGGAGGAGGAGGAGGATGAGGAGGAAGAAGATAAGAGGAAACAGAAGGAGGATGAGGAGGAGGAGGAAGAGGAGGAGAAAGACAAATTTTTTGAGAAAAGTTCTTAGAAAAGTACATAATCACCCACAGTATGAATTACAGGACATATGATTTCTACATATACACAACCGCCACATTGCAGTGTCAGAAAAGAGTAAAGGCCCTCCCGTTGATCATCGATTTGCTCGAGCGGGCCCAGTAACGTCTCCATTGGAGACTTTGTTGTTACTGTGTCTGGCATATCGAATACGTCACGGGTAGCTTGCCAGGCTCTGCCGTGCGGGCGAGATACTCTCAGTAGCTTGCCGGGCTCTCCGAGAGGAGCGGAGGAATCGAACTCGGGTCGGCCATGTTGGCTGCGTGCAAGGCAAACGCCCTACCGCTGTGCTATCACTCCAGTTCTAATAAAATTGTCAAGATTAAGAAGAGAAAATTGAGCTTTTCTACCAATATGCAAATGTATACCCTTACATCTCATTTAACCTGGCAGAATAGATGTATTCCTAATAGACCAGAGGTTTTGTTGCTTTGCTGCTATACTTGAAACATTTAACACTCTAGGTAAATCTTTAATATTTTAGATTTCTTAATTGAACTCTTAATTGTCTCAGGTAAAACTGTTCTTCTTAAACTAAATCATTAGGGAAAAAACAATGATTTTACCAATGCAAAGAATAAAATCTATGTATTATTTCATTTAGAAAATTATCAATTATTTCATGGCAGTGAAACTTAAAGTAGACCTTTAAGATAAATTTAATATATCTAAAGCATATCTTTTTAAAACAGTAAAAAATAAAATCATTGAAATCACAGGATAATTAAAATACTATTAAAACTGACAGTAGAGTATGAATAAAATGCCTCAGTATTAAATCAGTTTATTATATTGAGGGAAAATGGAAACCTAAAAATAGAAATTCAAGTTATAGAGGCTTAGAAAATTAAATGACATTATTTTGCTATCAGGATATTAAATTTTTTATAATTGTATGCCTGAAACATTATGAACAACCTTGTAAATCACTGGGCCTTAATTTAAAAATGGGATGCCAGGTATTGGACCTGAGTTAGCTGAATGCAAGGGAAATGCCTTACCTGTTGTACTATACACACTCTGGCCTCAATACACTAATTAAAAATAGAACCAGGGAAATAGTAATGCGAGCAGGGTGCTTGCCTTGCATGTGGCTGGCCCAAGTTTGATCCATAGCACTGCATATTATCCTGGAGCCTGCCAGAAGTATATCCAATACTGGAGAGTGAGGAATAAACCTTGAACACTGCGCACCCCCCTCCCTGGCCAAAAAAATCTCCAAAAACTAACTTTGCTAGTTACATATTTTCCTTATGGTTACTGTAACAAATGGCCATAAACTTGTGACAAAAAGAAATCCTTACCTTTACCTTTGCTTTTTATAGCTCTTAGCAGCATCTCCATTCCTTAGCTCACAATCACATCCTCTGTCTTCAAAGTGCATTAATTCAGGGTGAAGAAATAGTAGTATTAAGGTATGATGATTGCCTTGCATGCAAATGACCCGGGCTGCATCCCTGGCACTGCATAGGGTCTCTGAGCATTACTAGGAGTCATCTATGGGCAAAAATCCAGGGTTAAACCCTGATCACAGTCAGGTTTGTCCCCCAACACCACCCCTATTTTTTTAAAAAAGCAAAGTACAGTGCACAAAAATATTTCCATAATTGTATCAATTTCTCTTTTCTGTAGCAAAATCACCATCAGGTTCTCTCTCTTATAAGAACATTGGTAATTGCTTTTAGGGCCTACTAGAAACTAAAGGTATTTTCCTAATCTCAAACTAGATCTTAATTTAGTTACATCTGCATATTAGCTTCCTTTTTTTCATGAGTTCAAAGGTTCCAGATAATAGTACGTGATAACTTTTTTTAGTCTGTTTTCATTATTTAGTCTGCCACTCTAGTCCAAAAAATATGTCATAAGCCCTATCTCTAGTCTAGAATTTTATGTTAAAGCTTTCGGTGTTACTCAAAATGTATCACAGGTAAGTCAGTTTTTCAGAATGACTCTTTATTAACATATTTCAAATGAGGGAAAACTCCCTGAGAGTATCATGTGGTGTCTCAGATCATCCTAAAGACATCGGGTAACATATAGGGAGTTGGTCTTTGTGAAGACAGATTCAAACTTCACTATTCTTTATGTTATTAGTCATATGAATGGATAAATTATCTATGGATAAAGTAATGCTTAGTTCTTTCTAATCAAAGAACAGGTGGTCTACATTTCAAAACTAAAACACAAAATTATTCCTAACTGGTTGGGATATTTTGGAATTTTTCTTTCTCTTTAATAAGTATGAATTACATCTTGAAGTCAGACCTGGAAAAACGGAAATAGTATGTGTTTTGGAGTTACAGCTCTGACTGCACTAGATATTAAGTTCTCTGTGATCTCAAGTGCTTAACTTTGTAGGTACTCAGATATTAATCTATAAAATGGTGATGACTAATAACTATCCTAGAGGTTTATTGTGGGAGCATTAGCTTTACTATAAAAGCTAGCACAGAATATTTGCTCAATAAATATTTCCACCCTTTATGTTAGAAAATTTGGCTATAAAAAATACACAGCAAAAGTAGACTGATTTACTATTGTTCATTATGGACTACAGAATGAATTCAGATAAAACTGTTATGTAAAGTAATATGAAAATAGTAATGACCTAATTAAGCACTCAATAGAAGAATTATATTATGAATGCACAAGAAGAACTCTTGTATAATTTAATAATGGTCAGATATTTGGCATATTAAAGTGATTATTTAAAAGGTAATTCATCTACATCTTTAAGTTACACAGAATTAGTAATTTTCACGAGATTCTAAACAGCTTTACATTTGCATTGTGTCATGCTGAAATGTTTATGTTAAAAAAGACAGGCAAGTTTCCAACAAAGTAAGTGTGATTCAGGTATCAGAATAATAGCCTCTAAGATTTCCTTTGATAAAGATGGATAACACAGGTATTTCTCCAGATCACAGAAGGCTAGTAAGAAAATCCACTTATTAAGGTGTACAGTAAAATTTCTTTTTCCCTGCAAGAATAATTGAAGCCTTTCTCTGAGATATGCCATTTTACACATCATTCTTAAGGAGGCAAAGAAGCTGATAGAGCAACTGTCCTTGCCAACACAACACAGATCTCAAATATGCAGCGATTGGTCACTAAGGTGCTCAGAAGCAGTCTAGAGTTTCTCAGATCTCCATAGGACGTGTCATTAAATCTTCTCCTCCTGCTGGGTCTGACTTCTGGGGGAAAAAAGCATATGGTATAAAAGTTACTATATTTGGTGGTGAATACTAATGACACTCAGGAAGCTCATCCTTCAGTCTCTGCAGCCTTTAGCAACTTCTGGGTTATAAATGTGGCATGCCTTGATTTAATAATCTTTTGAAATTTATAGGTCAGAATTTATTGTCACTGTCACGTCATTGTCCTCCCATTGTTTATCGATTTGCTCGAGTGGGCCCAGTAACATTGTGAGACTTGTTACTGTGTTTGGCATATCGAATACGTCACGGGTAGCTTGCCAGGCTTTGCCGTGTGAGCGAGATACTCTCGGTAGCTTGCCAGGCTCTCCAAGACAGGCAGAGGAATTGAACTTGGGTCAGCTATATCTGTAAAATCAAATTCCCACATAAAGAGACAGAGACATGTATTTTTTTTGGTATTATACCTTTAATAGATTATATAATTATGGCAAGAATACCATAGGTCTTTGCCTAAACCAAGGCAAAGTTTACAAAGGTGCTCATTCCTCTTAAATGAGTGGAACCTGAAAAAACATTCAGCACAAAAATACATAAATGCATAAGTACAGACATAAGTGGAATAGAACAACAATGTTTTTCTACAGAGTGAGGATTGGAAGTTCAGCAATATTCCATGAGTTAAAAGCTGCATACAAATTTCTATATGACAATATCTTAATTATTGTATGGAATGGCAGAAGAGAGTCTTGAAATGTACAAAAATTATTATATGATCTCTAAAAAACAATCAATAGCATTATCTACATTACAATGAAATTGCAAGTTGAATTTCACATATGTGATATTTCACAGGGCATGTTCTATAATATTCAATGATTCATAAAAAGAATTTCAAGCAAGGAATTAAGAGAAATGTGGTTAGAGATATCATTTTACTCTACACAAAGAACTTTCAATGATTTATGTAAAGCTAATTATTGTGGCTCAGTAAGATAGAATATTGCATTAACTACATAGTAGTGCTCTGTTACGTCAAATGGTATAAATCACTTGGCTGATTTGGCTAATAACAAAATGTCAGCATGCAAATTTATTTTACCAAGACCAATAAAAACAAAATTCTCAGAAGTTGAGTATTTTTTAATCAAATATAACTGTAAAAATAAGATAATAGAGACTCCAGAAAACATACTGTTATTTTCTAATGTATCAAGAATGAAATGGTCCTTAGTGAAAAAGAATTTAAAAATATGGATTTTTGCATCAAAACTTGTCAAAAAATATGGTTCACATCAGAAGTTAATATCACTTGGGAGTTAAGTGATTAATACAAAAACAAATACATATTACGAATGTCCTTTTGTTCTACACTTACCACAATGCAAACGGTGAGGATTTAACCTTTAAGGGTTAAAGAGTTTAATCAATGTCAATGTCTGATCTTCTGAAGGCGATAAAGAACAGTCTGTCTAGCGATACCCAACAGAACATCACTTTGTCAAGCCACAAAGCGCCCAAAAGCTTGTCAAGTAAGTTACCAGAAACCTCTTTGTGGTTAGAACTCAGCTCCTTCCTGCTTGACCTATTATTTGATATTTGACCACTTGGTTGCAAGACACTTGCTCTTTCTAGCTGAAATGTCACTGGGGCATCTTGTCAGCTCCCCGACATCTCGGCCTGACATACAATTTTACTTTTGTGTGCTACAAGGCAGAAAATGCAGGGCAATGGCCTTGTTTTAAATTCTGTCAGCATCAAAGATGGGCATCACTCTTGGGTCCTGCCCACAACAAAAACAAAAAAAGGAGTCTATTTTGAAGGTCAAAACAGCCATTACCTTGAAGTTTTTCGGCCTATACGAAATATATTACCTGCTATGCTGTGGAAGGAACTGTCCTTTAAAAAGTGCCTAAACATACCGCAGAAATCCTTCCAGCACGATTGCTCTACTTTCTTACCAAATGCAGACTTGATAAAAGGATGAGTTTTCAGTGCCTGCAGGGACCAGATTCAGCAGTTAACTTAACTTGTTCAAATGGGCAAGTGGTATCATGTAGCTTTACAAGGAGCAACCTGACCTTCTCACATTGACCAGGAGTGACATTATTGTGCAGGAGGAGAAGCAGCCACATCATTTCTGTTTTGCACAACCTGCTTAAAGTTTGCAACTAAATGCTTGTCTTCAGTTGAGCTGACAAGAGAGAAGAGGGGGCTCAGTGAACCATGGCAGGGCTGCCATGAAATGACAGGAATCATTGGCATACATTTCAAATAGCTCTCTCAATCCTATTAAAGTATTGCAGTTCTGCTTTAAAATAGACAAGTATGAAACAACTTTGATAGATAGAGACTAAAATGGCTTATTGATTTTTTAAGTCAGAGGGAAATTACCCAAAATGTGTCATTCTTTAACATTTAAAAATATGTTACATAAAAATGAGCAACTGTGATAATAAATAAAACTTAGAAGGGAAAAAAGTTGGTTATTTCATTATTTCAGGAGACAGAGATACCTGTACACATCAAGATAGCAGCACATAATTTTTCAAAACCCACCACCTAGCTGTGCTGAAACAAAATTCCACTGATAAGAAAAATCCAATCTACCTTAAAGCAATTTTAATTGTACTGGTAACTCTTCCTGCATCTCTTTTTATTTAATACAGTCATAATCCAATCTGAGTTGGCCTTTTGGCATTAGAAGACATAGTCGCTGGAGACGAGTAAGATGCTGATGACGTGTGGGGCACAGGCTGTATAAATGACTCCTTTAAGAAAGTGTAAGCAGTATCGAGTTCAGCTTTCAAGGGCAAGAAATCCCCAACATTTACTGTGCCAGCAGGAAGAGCAGCTCTTGAAGGCATGGAGATATTTGAATGGTCTCGTGATCCTATCTGAGATACGAGAGAGAGAGAGAGAGAGAGAGAGAGAGAGAGAGAGAGAGAAACAGAATAGAAACTGTTAAATGGAGTGTAAACCTTAAACTGGGGAGTGAATTAACAATCACTGCAATATGAAATGGAGTAGAAATGACTGTTTAAGCAACTCCGATGACAATAAATATTAAGTTATTTTCCAAGTGTGACAAAAATCTGTTGTTAAATGAAAATGTAAAAAGAATTGTGTCAGGGTCCAGATTAATAGTATATCAGGTAAGCAGATAGAGTGTTTACCTTGCAATGGCCAACCCAGGTTCTATCCAAGGCACCCCATATGGTCCTCTGAGCACTGCCAGGAGTGATTCCTGAATGCCTAGCCAGAGTAAGCCCTGAGCACTTTCAGGGGTGACCCAAACACCAAAACAAAAACAATGTTTTTAGAATAACAGAATTTTGCCTAAACATGAAACTTCATATAAAATTTTCATAAAGCTACTGAATCAATGGGTCAATAAAGCCGTGCATTTTTACCTCTGCTTCCATCCATTGGAAATTTATAGAAACCAATGTCAATAATAATTACATGTAATACTATAACAGTAACATCATGTAAAATATACATATATACTTTATAACACAGTATATTAAACTGTCTAGAATATAATCTATGGATATTTATATTCTCAAATTATATCAGTCTACCAAAATTAAAATCCATAGCACAAAGAAAAAAGTTAATTTAATGATCTGTAAAAATGTCACACTAGTACATAGATGTTAGTGAAATGAATGTTTTTGCCTTTACTTTTTACTAAAAAAGTATTTATCCTATTTCAATAGAGACTATTTGGATGTAATGTATCAAAATGTGGTATTATAATATAAAAATAATTTGTTCTGTAGCATTAAATCTTTATGGATCCGGAAACTATTGAAAATAAGATAAAAAGTTCCACACATTCATGGAGAACTTGAAAACTGAATTTATAAGTTAGTAAACTCACACTTAAGCCTTAAAAGAAACTAAAATCAATAGGTAACACTTAATATGAACAAACTAGTGAAATATAGTTATTATTTTATGATTTTAAATTGCTTCAGGTACTGTGATTTACAATATTGTTAACGATGGTTTTCCGTGTACATAATCCCAATACCACAGCCATCCCCAGTTTGCCCACCTTCATCCCCCAATGGCCCCTTTCAATCTTTCAATCCCCCACAAACTCAGTTTTATAGATCAATTCTATGGCTGTGTTGCCTATGGCCCTTTGTTGCTACCTTACAGTGTATCTTTATTTTTTTATTGACTGAATTTTATCTTATGACATTTTTAGATAGTATGAAAATAGTAATAAATTTTTGCCAGAATTTTCTATAGCCCACCCAATAAAGTTTGCTGAAACCCAGTCATAAGTATCTCCACAAAAAAATTACACTTTATATTAGAGGTTTTCTCACAAAATTAAATATCCTTGATACATTCCCATCGTTTTGATAACAAAATAGTGTGAAGCATAAGGATCTACTTTATAATCATATTTATATCAACTTTTTCCACATGTAAAAATAAGAGTGAAGTCACCACTGGTGTTAGAAATTCAACTGTTGTTTATTGCCATTTTTTAAAAAAATTTTTTTAACTACAACTGGAGAAAAATCAATGGCTGCATCTAACACCTAGTTCAGCAATTTTCTTTGATCTCTGTTCTTTTGATTTCTTGATACTCCACTGCAAGCCTACAGCTGACAGAAATCATCTCTTTATGTGAGCAGTTAAAAATACCTGAAATGGTCTCCTGAATGGTTCTATGAAAGAGAGGGTTTCACTTCTCTCAACACAAGGCAGAGAACTCCCTGGACACATGCTGACTCTGACTAGGAGCAAGGTCTGGTTTGCAGGACCTTAATAGTGGATGTGGCATGTCAGTTTGGAACCCAGCATCTTGCACTTTCGTTGCTATTTGATCCATTCCATTTCTGATATATTTTATTAGCTGTGTGACTGAATTGGCAGCATCTTTACCTGATTGATTTTGATGCTTAAAAACTACAAGGCTATTTTACCAACTAACTCCGCCAGACCTCAGGGGCAGGTGAAAGGAATGCTAGAAGAGAGGAAGACAATGGCACCTGATTTTCATCTGGATAAAAGTTTGAGTGATAGTGTGTTTTATTATGATAAAAGAATATTGGCAGGTAGGCCTTCAAAAGTTTGTTGTTACATCTTTACACTTCAACTTCTGATCTAAGAAAACTGTGAAGACAGGAATGGACAGAAGCAGGCCAAGGAAGGTCATGTGTTTACTGAGGGCATTTATTTCTTGATGCTTTAGATAGAGGTGGTTTTGCCAAAATGATCAGTCACTCTCTGCTTTGCATTATACATGTATAATGTATACATAGTTAACCTACTCAACCTTCCACTATATACGTGAAGTTTCATTTTCTTTGTTCATGCAATTCTATCAACCAAACACACTTCGTATTTGGAAGGCCATCCTTCAGGGAAGGTCTCCACTTGCTCATTCATCTCTTCTTATTAGACTGGATCTTGGCACCCTATAAGGGACTTTTAGAAGGTGCTCTTTTGTAAGACTTTGGCCTTTTTTCCCCCATGTCTATTTTCCAACATGTGTCTGAAACCATGTTTTAAGTAATATTTCAATGTATTGAGTGAGGAATTGTGTGCTTTCCTAACATTTCAAATTAGTCACACTTTTCCCATATTGTTTTCTGACCATATGACCTACACATTGGGAAAAGGGCTTTAAAAGGAGAAATTCTTAAATATATTCGCTCCTCAAAAGTAATTCTCCACCAACTAAATAGATTTACTTATGTATAAACAAAAACTTTTGAGGTGGAGTTGTTTTCTATTCACATTGTTAGAAAATCAGTTTCTTTTTTATTACATAATTTAAGATCTGATTTTATATCACCTAATGACTTAAAACTGTCAACAAAAATTCTAGTAATATTTTGATCTCAGGATACAATGTTAAAATAACAAGTAAATAAGAACTATTTTTCTTGTTAAAGATAATATCCAGAAACATGTCGGGCATTTTTATTATAACAAAGAATAAAAGACAAGTTAAATAACTTTTTATCAGAAACTATTAAAAGTTAATATTCACCACCTGATCTTATAACTTAAACCTGTAAAGTTCATAGTCATTTAAATAGTTTTTAAACTGCTGAGATGTTCTAGTAGTCACTCAGGTAAATCTAAATTTAAGCAATTTTTAAAAAAGATATTAGTTACCTGAAATAAAAGCTAGTTGTCATGTGAATCTTTATGGAAGTACTTTTATTTACTCAATAAGCTATAAATGATTCTATTTAGACTGTTAAAGTCTATCAGCTAAATATATATTCACAATACAAAGTGTGTCTACTAAATTTCTGCATTTAAAAAATCTTATGAAATATAGTAATTGGACATGTCCTATAGCCATTTTTCAGGACTTTAATATCTTAGCTGTCTAAGAGTGTTTTTTCAACCAAAAAATAAATAAAGCATTAGTCTAATAATAAGATAATCACTCAATAAATTGAGTATAAATCAAAGCCATTTTGCAGACCAAAGCTTCTGAAATGATGACACTGAGCCATTTGTCTCCTATGTAGCATTTATGATCAGTTAAGTCTTCCAGAATCTAGTATATAAAAATCAAAGAGCAATGCAGCTTAGTAATCCTGAACAGTGTTTCAAGAAGATTCTGCTGGGCACACAATAAGAGAGAAAAAACACTTGACTAGCAATCCAAAGACTATTGTTTTTCCTCCCTTTTCTATTATGATCCTGCTGGGGCATGTGACCTTGCCCATCTTGGGTTCACCACCCTTACCTATAAAATAAGGAGGAGTTAGACTGTGTCCAGCTCTGAAGTTGATGTGATTACATTGGTGTAATTGCAATACACATGACATCTGATAACACTCAAGTTCTACAGAAGGATAGCAAGATTAGCAACAATTTACATGACATGGATTCAATTAAATTCTGTAGGACATTTATTATGACAATGTTTTAAAGCTCCCTAAATTACTGGCTGCTTTTCTTTAGGTGGAAAACCTCCCAAGCAGTGCTCAGGTGCATACTAAGCCACTTCTGGCAGGCTGAACAGTTCAGTGATAGGGCCCAATGATGCAGTGCTATTGTGCCCAGTGGTGCTGGAGGTCTCCAGGCCACGACAGGAGTGCTGGGAACTCCAGGGATATACCCAGAGCTGTAGAGGACAGAGCATGTGGCACTGACATTTGAACTTCGGTATACTTCATCCCTAATCCCTGATTTGTCTCCCTGGCCTTGGATAGTTTTAAGTACAAAGCACAGTTCCACTTTAATGAAAGAACAGAGGGCCTCACAATGAGACTCCCTCACCATTTCTTTTTATTTCCCCCTTTTTTGGCTTTTTGGATCATACCCAGCAATGCTCAGGGGTTACTGCTAGGTCTGTACTCAAGATTTACTTCTGGCGGTGCTCAGGGGACCATATGGGATGGCAGGGATTGAATCTGGGTTGGTTGTGTGCAAGGCAAATGCCCTACCTGCTGTACTACCACCCCACCTCACCATTTCTGTGTTATTTATTAATACGTTATACTATATCATATATATTATTTCCTTTAGAGTCTTAATTTCCAATATCTCATTTTCTTCCTTTAAAATTGTCGACCAAAGTCCATACATTTTCCAGTTCTGCCATACTGGTATCATAGGACTACAGTTTTGAGAAACAGAATTGACAATAATCATATTTCTCATTTTCTATTGTGGGATGCCTGATAATATTTCCAATATGAATGTATATATATACATACATGCACATGCATAAATACATTAACCTTATTAAATACATACTTATACATTCACATATATTTTATTTATATACAGATACATATTTGTATACCTATATATAACTATCATTATAATTAAATATTAGTCATTAAATATTAAATGTAAGTATATTAAAATATGAATCATTAAATATTAGTACAGAAGAATT